CCTCCTCCTCCTCCTCCTCCTCCTCCTCCTCCTCATCGCATCCCCTGTGAACGAAAAAACTGCATAAGCATGCACTGTCGGAGGTCCGAGCACGCAAGGGGCGGCGCCGGAGGCGCCTCCAAGGGGGTCGACACGGATCCCAGAAATCTGCGCGGACCTCCGACAATTATGGATGTGCCGCTTTTTGTTTCCCAACACGCCTCCAGGACCTATCCCGGCCTGCGTTCTGACCAGGAACTCGGCGGCGAGTCCAGCGGTGGCGACGAGGGCCTCCCAGGAGGCCCCAAACAGGGCAAACAGAAGAAGAAGAAGAACAAGAAAAAACAACACACACACATAAACTTTTGGCGCTCCGCACGGATTTTTCGGATCTACGCTGGACCCCCCTCCCTGGCGTGCGGAGCGCGCCAAAGAGCGGCGCCGGAGGCGCCGCCAGTGGGACCCGGAGCCGATCCAAGAAATCCGCGCGGAGCGCCAACAGTTTATGAGTATGGCGTTCGCTCTTCTCCGATTCTCCGCCTCCTCATCCTCCTCCTCCTCCTCCTCCGCCTCCTCCTCCTCCTGAGTCCCAGGCCCCGCCTCAGACCTTCAGGGCCACCACACGATTCTCGCGCGGGGCGGCGGGCCCGCCGGGCGCGGGCGGCGCGCGCGGCTGGGCCGCCGGCGCGTGCGGCGGGGGCGCGGGCGCGCCGCGGGGCGCCGGGGCCGCCGAGCGGTCCAGGAACTCCTCGCGCAGGAAGGCCACCCAGCGGTCGACATCCTCTCGGGAGCCACGGGCACGCGTGCGGTCGGCCCGCAGCAGAAGGACACGCGATACGCAGGCAGCATCGCTACACCACCACCGTGCCGGGCCAGGGCCACCCTGGGCCCTAAGATAAGGCAAAGGCCACGCTGGGGCCCAGGATGGCCCTGGCCTGGCATGGTGGTGGTGTATCACTGCCTTCGCCGGGCGCGAGAAGAAGGATGCCTATGCCGAAGCGTTTCGAGCGCGGCGCGGCGAGCGAAAGTGGCAAAGGACGGTCCGAGGAGGCAAGGATGCAAGGGTACCCTTGGGAAGGGTGCCCAGCCTTACCATGCGGGCTGACTATATGCGTGGCACCCCGCAGCTGCGGATCAGAGTGAGCGGGGGCGGGCACGGGGCGGGCGCGGGGCTGATCGCGCGCAGGTCGCGGACGGGCGCAGGGCGGGCGCGGGGTGGGTCGCGCGCGGGTCTCGGGTGAGTCGCTGGCGGGTCACGCGCAGGTCGCGGGTTCGCCACGGGCGGGTCGTGGGCAGGTCGCGGGCGGGTCGCGGGTGGGTCGCGGGCGGGTCGACGGCGGATCGCGGGTGGGTCGCGGGGGTGGGACGACGACAACAACAACAATCAGATTAAGACTGTTCGCTCATATCTGCTCGCGTGCCAATCAACACGTGTATGCCAAACCCTCGATACCCGTCCTCTTCGTCTTCGATCGCATCCCCTTTGGGGTATATCATTATTACCTGCAACGTGTATTTCGTGCAGCCCCTGAGGCAAGGGAAGAGAGGATGGATGGAAGGAAGGGAAAAGTGGCAGGCGGGTTGCTGAAACGTGCGTCCTTCGCGAGCGCGGACCCTGAAGAAATTGCAAGGAGTCCCACGGGCGTAGGTGGTCTGGGGCGGCTCCTCCTCCAACCCCGTCCTTCCCCTTCGGGGAGGGGTTCACCCCTCCCCCTGGGCCCTCCCCTAGACCTGGACAGGGCCGGTCGCGAGCGGTCAGGGCGTCAAAAACGGCCTCGGCGAGGAAGCCCACATCATTAATTGTAGTAGGGTGTTGGCCATATTTTGGCCTTTCGGGTGGGCGAGGCTAAAGTAAACTCCCCTTTTTTTTGATCGATCTCCTCCAAGATGGCCCAAAAGGAGGCCCCCCCGAGGCACCGAAGACGCCTAAGAGCCCCCCAGGACCGCCAAGAGACCCACAAGACGTCACACAAAAAACACGAAGAAGCGCCCAAGAGATACCCCAAGAGGCTCCTGGAGGCATCCAAGACTTGCCCTCCTCCTCCTGCTCCTCCTTCCTCATCCTACGCTTTCTCCTCCTCCTCCTCCTCCTCCTCCTCCTCCTCCTCTTCCTCGTCCTTCTCATCCTACTCATCCTCCTTCTACCCACTCCCTCATCCATCCAGCCTCCTCCTTCTCCTCCTCCCTCCTTCGCATGGTTCGGCCGTCCCTCTCTTTGCTCACGCACTTCCCTGATCACCTCAACTCCCCTTGGACACAGTTTCTTGATGTTATTGTGGAGATTCTCTTGTCGCGACAGCAGGCGAAAGCGCCGGCGGCGAGTAAGGTCCGAGCGGGCCGCGCAAGAGCCGAATTGCCTAAAGCCGACGGGCCGGCGACCTCAGCGGGGCGCAACGGCGGGCGGGCCGGCGAGAGGGGGCGTGCGAGCTGCAGCTGCCAGGGACCGGGTCCAGGAGCGCGCACATGCATGATTAACCAACCAGGGTTGGGGCGCAGCCAAAATGGCGCGGGGGTGGTACCAGGATGGGGCCAAGGAAGCCGACAGGACACTGCGTGACCTGCCAGGGGACCATACTGGCCTAAAACTGGGGCATGAGGTGGCGCCAAAAAAGCAGCACACCAAGACTCCTGAAAAGAGTACTGATCCTGCATCCAAACGTGCACGGGGTGGTCCCGGGAGGGCGAGCTGAGCGGCCAGGGAAACGATGGATGTAATCGACACCGTACCACGCCAAGGCCACCAGACGCTTGTGGAAATACGTTTTTTTTTTGGGTCGGCGGCTCCGAGGCAACGGACAGGGAGCGGAATCGGCGTCCGGGTCACGGTACGGGGCTAAACTTGTGGAATTACGCGAAGCGTCTGGAATTGTGAGGAAGTCCCTTGCGAGCGCGCGAAATTGGGATACATTGAAAGTGAAATCCAGTCGGGAACCGCTGTTGTAATACATTTGGGGCCTGCAACCCAATTCTGAGACCCAAGGCTCCTCCTGATAAAAAAAGGGGGCGGGCCCCGGGAAAAACACTCCACTTGCAGAAACACCATGTGTCCCAGAGGGGGGACAAACAACAATTATTCCTCTGATGTGGGAGGTCAACAATGACAACATCATCACCGACAACAACACCACCAACAATAACACGATCAACAACAACTATAAGTTGAAGCGTGTTCGCTGTTACCTGCAACCGTGCCATCCAAAACGTATACCTCAAACCCTCGATGCCCGCCCTCTTTGTCTTCGATCGTACCCCCCCTGGGGGTATACCTTTCTTACATGACGCGTGTAATTAGTTCATCTTCCTCTATGGCAGGGGAAGAGAGGACGGATGGGGGAGGGAGAACGATGGAGAACGAGAGAGAGTTGCAGGATGCGGGGGCCAAGAACAGAAAACACGTGGAAAAACAAGACGGGCTGATCAGGCGGGTAGACCATACAATAACGGAAGGGTCGGGAAGGCGGGCCAAGGCGGCATTGTCGAGCAGGCGGGTTGCTGAAGCGTGAATTCTGCACGCATGGCGAGGAAGTCTCGAGCGACAGCGCGATTCCGAAATAGATCGCGAGAAACTCCACAGCGAGAGCGCGATAACTGACCGTCAAAGGCGCGGCGTGTGACTAAATTCCCAAGAAGTCCCACGCGAGAGCGCGATGCCTGCATAACTTATGAAGAAGTCCTGCACGAGAGCGCGACTTGAAATGAATTGTGAGAACGTATCCGGCGGGAGCCGCTGTTCGTTGTACATCGGGGGGCAACCACATAATTTGGTGACCCCACACTGCCCCTTGTTAACAAAAGGGGCGAGCCTCCGAAAGAGCACTGCAATTGAAAAATGCAGTGGTTACCCGAGGGAAAATCAACAACACTTACTCTTCATACATGAAACAACAACAGCACCAACACCAACAAACCAACAAACCAAAAACACAAACAACAACGACAACAACAACAACAACCACAACAACAACAACACCAACAACACCAACAACACCACCAACAACAACAATCAGTTTAAGACTGTTCGCCCTTAGCTGCTCGAGTGTCCAATAACGCGTATGTCCCAAACCCTCGATACCCGCCCTCTTCGTCTTCGATCGAACACCTTTTGGGGAGTATACCTTTCTTCCCTACAGGCCGGGCCCCGGCAAGCGGCGGGGCGGCCGCGGACAGTCGACCCGACCCCAAGAGGGACGGACAGGGGACCGACCACGAAAACGACGACGACGACGACGTCGACGACAACGGCGACGACGACGGCGACGACGAGCGAAAGCGAGGGAGAACGACAGCAGGGCCACGAAGGATACGAAGTAGGCCACGAAGGGCGACAGCGGGGACACGAAGGGAATGCGTATGGGGCCACGAAGAGCCGAACGAGCAGGGGCCACGAAGGGCAGAGAATGCGGGGCCACAGAAGGCAACGATCGGGCCACTGAAGGTGGCAACTGGGCCACGTAGGACAGTGAGGGGGCCACAAATGGCGACAGCGGGGCCAAGAAGGGCATGCACATGGGGCCACAACGGGCGCGAACGAGCGGGGGCCACGAAGGGCACAATTACATATGTTGGGCCGCGGAGGGCAAGGACGGGGCCACTGAGGGCAGCAACGGGGCCATGAAGGGCAGCAAGGGGGCCACGAAGGGCGACAGCGGGGCCATGCATATGGGGCCACCACGGGCGGGAACGAAGGGCAGCGAGAGGGGCCACGAAGGGCATACATGTATGGGGCCACGAAGGACAGCGAGGGGGCCACGAAGGGCTGCAACGGGGCCACGAAGGAGAGCGAGGGGGCCACGAAGGGCTAATTACAACGGGGCCACGAAGGGCTGCAACGGGGCCACGAAGGGCAGCAACGGGGCCACGAAGGGCTGCAAAAGGGGCCACGAAACAAAGCGAGGGGGCCACGAAGGGCTGCAACGGGGGTATGGCCAGGATGCGCCCGCCACGGTGCAAATGCTGCAAGAGTTCTCGGTGCGCACGTCGCCACTCCGGGGGGCGACGCAGACAAAGTATTGGCATGGTGGGGTGACGCCGATCCTCCTCCAGCGAGTAGAGCCCGAAGGAGATGCGCACCACCCCGGTGTGCCGCCCGTCGATGATGCCGAGGTCGTCCCCGCACACCTTGCCGGAGGAGTAGAAGTGCCGCAGGTCGGCGTCCGTCAGGCCCAGGTGCGCCTGGCACGAGCCCGCGTTGCAGTGGCACCCCGTGCGCAGGACTATACCGCGGGCGCGCGCACGCTCCTATAGAGGCCTCCCAGATGGGGTCCGAGCAGATGGGGTCCGAGGATCGCGCCAGAGCGGCGATGCATCGGCAATGCATCGGCGATGCATCGGCGATGCATCGGCGATGCATTGGCGACGTCGCCGGTGCATCGGCGACGCCGTCGTGGAGAAAATCGGGCTCCACATCGAGCCGCATCGCCGATGCACTGGCGATGCGGAGCGATCCTCCGACCCCATCTACTCGGACCACATCTGGCGGGCCTAGAGCTCCTGGACCAGGCCGTAGGGCACGGGCGCGCCGTCCGACCAGCTCAGCGCGAGCGCGATGGCGGGCCCCTGGACGTCCGGCCACTGGGGGTCTTCGTGGCGGCCGAAGATGGTGCACAGCAGCCCCCCCGCGCGGTGGCGCAGCGCGCGCGTGCGCACGTAGGCCCGGCGGCACACCGCGAGCACGTGGCGGCAGCGGTCGGCGTCGGGGGCGACGGCCCGGGCCAGGGCCAGCTGCCGCGGCAGCGCCGCGATGCCCTGCCAGTGCGGCGCGCCGCTCTCCGCCGACGCCGCCAGGCCAGCGCCCGGCCCCTCGCCGCACACCGGGCGGCCGGTCGCAGGGGCCCCTGGGCGCCCGAGCAGCGCCGCCGCCTCTCGGCGCGCTATGAGCGCCCCCAGCCCCGTGGGACAGCCGAAGATCTTGTAGAAGGAGACGGCCACGAAGTCCGCAGGGCACCTGCTGAGGTCCAGCGCCCCGGGCAGGCAGGCCAGCTTGGCGGCGTCGAGCAGCACGCGCCAGCGCAGGGGCCCGGAGCGCAGCGCCGCGACGCAGGCCAGCTCCGCCCTGGCGCCGTCGAAGTTGGACTCGCCCGGAAAGGCCAGCAAGTTCGGACCCCTGGGCAGGGAGTCGTCGGAGAGCTTGCCGACGGCCTCCGCCTCCGGGCGGCCCTCTTCGGGCAGCAGGGTGGCGGCAGCGAGTCCCTCGCTCAGCTCCCGCAGCTGGTCCAGCCCGACCCAGCCACACTGCGCACCGCCGCGGCGCGCCAGCTGGCGGAGCCCGAGAGCGCTGGTGTGGCTCTCCCGCGCGTGCAGGAAGAGCCCCCCCGGCGACCAGGGGAAGAGCTCGCCCACGAGCTGCAGGGCGCGGGTGGCTCCAGAGGTGAAGACCAGCTCGTGCGTCTCCGGACTGGCACCAAACATCCGCAATGCTGGAGGGAACGAGAGCGGGGACCTTGGCCAAGACTGAGCGCAGACACGTCGGGGTCGACCGGCCATCGTCCATCTCATCCACCGTCAGTTCGTGGATAATCCTCACGAGTCGGCGACGGCCGGCGTGGACCACGACTAAGATCGACGCCGACGAGATCCCGCGGCATCTTGGTCATGGTCACCGTGTCTCCCCTCGAGATACGTCGGCACGGACGCCCTCCACGACTTCCGCCGAGGCTGCCGAGCGCTCTGGGCTGGCGAGGAAGCGCTCCAGCAAGGCCCCCGTCGCTGCCCGCGCCTGCTCACGGCTGTACAGCGCAGCGCCTGCGTGGTCCAGGTACGCAACTTGCCCCAAGTGCCCGAACTCCTGCTCTCGAATGGCCCGCACCTGGGGGGGAGCGAACAGTTGATGCAGAAACGCATCAGGCCGTGGCGACGAGGGCCGCGGGGAGGCCTACAAAGGCGGAACCGAGGGGATGATGCGTTGTGTTGTTGGTTCGATGCGCGGCCCCAGCGGTCTCGACCACTTCCCCCGCGGCAGTCCTTCGCCCCAAATCGATGCGTCATGGTCCAGGGCCCCGAAAACAACACCCAGAGACCCCCCCAAAAAGAGACACCAGGCTTGGATCAACCAGTACTATTCCCATTACTCCTGTGTTCGGTTCTCGCCTTGAATACAACACTGCGATCTCCAGGTCCGTTTCCCGCCCACCTCCTCCTGTCTCCTCTTCTCTGTTCCTGCATCCTACTTCCTACTTCCTAATTGTCTCCTCCATGTGTTTTGTGCCTTCCAACACGTCACTATTCGGAGGACTGCGAACTGCGAAACAGTCGCAACTGTCGAGGGCTGCTGGGGGGACGGCGTGCTGAGTACCGGGCGTGGATTCGGATTTGGCCTCGCCATCCTTGGCGGCTGCGGACTGGGAAACTCTCTCCCTCCTGAAGGCTCCTTGGGGGGACGCCGTAGCGGGTACCGACCGGGCGGGGACCCACATTAGACCTCGCTATCCCCGAGGTGCCGCGACCTGCCAAACCGTCGCCACTTTCGAAAGTTGCTGGGGGGCCCAGCGTACGGGGCACCGAGCGGGGCCCAGACTCGACGTCGCCATCCCTGGGGGGCTGCGAACTGCAAACCATCGCCATGTTTTAAAGGGTTTTTTGGGGGGGGCCGTAGTGGGTACCGAACGGGTGCGTCGAACACCAGACCTCGCCAGCCCTAGGGGGGCGGCGAACTGCGCAGCCTCTTTCTAAGGCAGCGCGTACCGAACCACGACTCATATCAGACCTCGTGCCTGGGGGGTTGCGAACTGCGAGGTCGTCGCCACTCTGGGCTGCAGCTGCGGGGACGTCGTAATGGATTCCCTGCGGGGACTCTGAATCGACCTCGCCACCCCTGGGGGGCGCGCCCTACTGGGGGGGCAACAATTTGGGCACCGAACGGGGATTCATGTTAGACCTCGCAATGACTGGGGGAGGGCTGCGAACTGCGAAACTGTCGCAGCTTTGCGATGGGCCGCTGAGGGGTGCCAACATGCTGGGTACCGTGTGGGGGGGCTGCAGAGGCTGTCGCCGTTTTTGAAGACTGTTGGTGGGGCAGCACAGTGGGCACCGAGCGGAAATGCGCATTAGACATCGCCATCTCAGGGGGGGCTGCGAACTGTGAAACTGCTGCCACTATCGAGGGTTGCTGGGGGAGGGGCGCAATCATAGTGAGTACCGAACGGGGACTTGGAATGAACTTCAGTGGTGACACAGCGGGAACTCATATAACATATTACATACTACGCACAACACATCGCAAATCCTGGGGGGGCTGCGAAATGCACACCAATCGCCACTTTCGAGGATTGCTGGGGAAGTCGGCGGAACGACGACCTACGGGGGCCCAGATCAGACCTCGCCGTCCCAGGGGGGTGCGAACTGCGAAACTGTCGACACTTTCGAAGGATGTCAGGGGTCAGTTGACCGACGTATTTTCATGACAGAATGATGCCTCCCCTTCGCCGCCTGCCACTGCATGTCGTGTTTCATGTTTATTTCTCGCTCCCGCCTCTCATCTGCATGCTTCCCTGCTGCGTTGCATCTGCCTGGGTAGTGTAGCGCGCGAGTCTCCCCTTTTACAATTCACAACCACTCAACAACTCGGGTTCCTTGCGCTGCCATCATCAGCAAAATGAAGGTTCCTGATGTGTGCCGTTGGCCTGTGTGGTTGGTGCATAGTACTGGCGCACTGCAGTGGCATCTATGCGTGTGCGGGCGGGGTCGGAGCGCAAACTCTTCGGGAATCAAGGCAAGCCCAATCCTTGATCATCTCACTCAACAAGGGCGCGCTTTATTGTTATTCCCTGTTGGCCAAAGCTGTTGAAAGAGCTTAGGATCCCTCGGGAACGACGGCACCAGTGCGCGCGAGCCTCAGAACTCACCCCGAGGCCACGACAGGAATCACACCTTGAGCGCACCACCGTCGTCAAGCGACCGAGGTCAGGATGTTGCGGGGCCCCGAGGGGGGGGGGGGGGGGGGACTCGCGCCGAACTGCGCCAAGAAGACCGACGAGCTCTCCGCTCCCACGAACACCGAACTCCCGACAAAAACTCTCCACTGTGGTCCACAGATGACTGAAAGCCGCCCAAACATTCCGCTGCCGGCCTGAATGTTTACCATACGCCCTGACACGGGCTTTTATAAAGTATCTGGGAACGTCTGGAGCGACGATCGGGTACTCTGCTGGAACCGCATCTCAGCCAAATTGCGGCCCCATCCTGAATATAAAGGTTAGCCATCCCCTGAGAGCTCAAGCGACCTCGAAGCATGACCTCAGAGAAGTCACCAGGCAGCAGATACTCGCGGGTTGCCCCGCCCCTTCGAAGACTATACGGGACGAGGGAGAGATGCTTACAACCAATATGCTGCAGGCCAGTGCGAGACATTAAATGAAACGCGCGGGGGCGAGGCGGGCCAGAGTCAGTCATCACGTTGCAACTGCATGTGAACGACCGCCCCCACAAGCGGGTCGCCCATCGCCACCGTCTCGCGCGCACCCTTCTGACGGGCAGTCTCTGTCCAGGGTCGCGACGCCACGCCGCGGCCGCAAGGCTTCAGCTGGATGACGCCGCTGGAGAGGCCGAGAGCCTCGCCTGTCCGAAGGCGCAGGTGGAAGCCCGCCAGCACTGTCGTCGCGAACGCGACCTCTCCGCGCCCCAGCGCCCAGCCAGCTAGCGCACTGCAGACCAGCGGCGGCGTCGGCGGCGCACGCTGAGGCACCTCCAGGCGGCCCCAGGCTGACAGCAGCCGTCGCGCGCCAGGGTGCTGACGGCGCTGCCTCAACATGTTGAATCCCGCTGAATGCATCGTTCGCTTGACCTTTTGTGGCACCGTCGGCCCAAAGATGCTCGAAGTAACCTTGGAGAGTAACATCCACACCTTCCCAAGCCACAGACAGCTGCGGGTTCATGGCATGCAGATCGTCAACAAGCTGCTGGGCGGCTCGACGATATCTCGCAAGTGCTGCAGCGCCAATTCGAGCGTAACCCAGCTTCCCCAGTCCAGCTCTGGCGGCGCGCCGATCGGGGAGGCCACTCCGCTTCCCCATCCTTCAGGCGCGACGGGGCGTCTGCGGGGTTCCTGGCTGAAGAAATGAAGCCGAACGCTGCCCGCGCGCCCATCGCCAGTTCCCGAGAAGCGAAACTGCGCACCACCTTATTGAGCCGACTGCTGCTGGAGCGGTGCTTGGAGAGAGCACCGGCGCTGACCATCCTGTCGAGTAGGCGTGAGAAGACGCGCTGTCGGCGCCCCAGAGAACGAGCACGCCATCAAATCATCATCAGGGCGCCCTGGCACTCCAAGACATTGATGTGCTCTGGAACGTCCCAAACCAGCTGTTGAGCTTGACGCCATTGCCACTGCATCAGTCTCCCGCCGAGGGAATATCTTACCGAGCTCACCAGAGCTCCTGTCTGAGCGCCAGTCTGCACCATTTTTGTGGCACGCCATCGCAAGATTCATGACCAGCCTTCGCGAGACATCTGAATCTCTCCAGGAAGTCGCACCACGCTTGGCCAGCTCGGCAAGCCGCACGTCCGCGTGGCAGGACACCGCCTGCTCGCAGTGGCACGCAAGGGTAGCCCCGCGCAGGTCCCCCAGGCGACCCAGCAGCTGCGGCTGCCCCCGCAGCCAGCCCGCGAACTGCGCCACCGCGCCCTCTCGCGAGGCGCTCGGGACGATGGCGAAGGGGTTGCCACAACAGGAAGGCTCCAAACTCCAGAGCCGCGGGCCGCGGCCGACATAAACCACCGCTGGCGGTCCCGGGCTGGCGCGCCCTGCAGCTGTTACCTTCAGCTCGCGGGACGCCTGCTCGTCGAGCTCCACGCGTCCGCAGCGCAGCGAGGCGAGGTCGCCAGCCCGCAACTTGCGGCCTCCAGCCCAGGCGCGCGCGCGCTGGAATGCAGCTCGGCCACCGACGGCACGGGGGCAGCAGCCCCGCAGCTACGGCCCAGAGGCCAAGCAGCCAGGCCACTACCTCGAATTGGAACGAGGTCCTCACCGAGGATCGCCGCAGCGCATCGTGCTTGGGCGGGCTGGTCTTCGCCTCCACGCTGGTCATGCACGGGGCAGCGCGGCCCTCGGCGAAGCCCATCAGCTTCAAGCGCGCGACCGCGTCAGGCGACGCCACGCGGCCACCGGCCTCGTGGATCAGAGCGGGGCAGCGCAGCCCGCCTGATCCCAGCGCACCAGCTCAGCATCCGTGCACTCCCCGATGCCTGCAGGCCCGGGGCGCGGTTGCGAGCGCGGCAGCGGCGCCCAGCGAACGAGCGCAGGCAGCGGCTCCCCAGCAGCGGCCCCAGGGCAGCTCGCACCAGCAGGCGGCAACCCCTCCAGCGGCGGCCGCTCAGCCTGCAGCGCCACGCGGCAGGTGCGGCGGCCCGCCGAGCTCTTCGCCATCACCATGGTCGCCTTGGACTCGAAAGAGGGCAGCAGGTCCCAGGACGTCCAGTACAGGCGCGGTCGCTTGACCCAGCCGATGTCACCGGCCTCGACCTCCAAGGGGATCCGCTCGAAGAGCGCGTTGAGATGAAGTACCTCAGATTCGGCCATCGAAGCAACGTTCTCGCCAAGAAAGTCAACCGCGGCCTCAGGCATGGCCATCCGCAGCCCCAGGATGATCCTGATCACGCGGCCGACAAGCGTCGGCGGCACCTCGGCGGCCCACGCTGAGCCTCGCGTAGATCTGGCACGGGAAGCCGCCCATCACCAGCGCGCGAGAGATCCGACCTCGGGCCCGCAAGAGGCCCGCCAGAGAACCCGGTCGGCCTCCGGCACGTCGCCAAGGTGCTGGGTCCCAGGGTAGCAGCAGCGCGCAACGCGCACGGCCTGGGGGTCAACCTCGAACGACAGGTGGACCACGGGCACCAGGCCGAGGATCTCGAAAGCCCTGCGTCCGCCCCCGATCCCGTCGAAGAGGGTGATGAACGCCGTCTCCTCCTCGCAGGCAGCGTGGGCAGGCCGCTGGCGCCGGGTGGCAAGCGCGCGGCCGCGGTCCGAGAGGGCCGTGCTGTAGACCACCGCGCCCGCAGCCTCCGACGCATCAGACGCCGTCGCCAGGTGGTCGACCTCGAGCCGCATGCCTGCCACGCACAAATCAGAAAGCGCCAGGCACATCAGCAGGTCCTCGACGACGTTGACGCTGAAGCGGCCTCCACTGCGCGCATCGCCAAGCCTTCGCCAAGCATAGGCGAAGCTGGCGGCCAGCGGGCGGCGAAATCAATGATCACGCACCCATCGGCCAAGCAGGATACGTATCAGCCGCGCGCGGGCACGCGTCTTCCCCAGGACCCAAAAGGTCAGACTGACCATCTCAGCGACGTAGCCCGCGGGGGGGCGGCGGACGCCCTCGACGCCAGGGGGCCCAGGCGAGCCCGCCGCCTCGTAGCAGGCCCTGGCGTCAGTCAGCAGGACAGGCACCGTCCCGCGCAACTTCTCCGCCTCCAACTTGTCGACGATCTCGGCGATCTCCAGGTCGTCAATGTAGACCGCCCATGCCCAGCGGCAACCGCCGCCGACGCGCGACCTCGCAGCGTGGGCTGAGGCCGCGAGGCACGCTGCCACTGCGCCGAAGCATGTTGCGGCGAAGATGGGTAGTCACTCCCACCGCGCTGGCCCACCCCATGCCGATCACGCGCAAGCAAACGTGGGGGGCGCCGCCGTCCTTGCGGCCCAGCAGCCGAGAGCCGAGACGGCACGGGGGGGGGGGGGGGGGGGGGGGGGGGGGCGATCACCATGCGCGGCCACCACGGCGGCGGGGCCCTGAAGACGTAGAAGAAGGCCTTTCTGTCAGCGCCGCTCCACAACAGGTCCTCCGACTCGGCAAGCACCAGGCCGTTCAGCTGACTTATCGTCGGCATCTCGGGCGTCTCCCACGATGCACTCCTGGCGCGCGTTCGAGGGGGTCAAGTTCGTGATCAGCCTGAGGACGGGCCGCAGCTCCCCGTCGCTGCATTTGGCGGGGGCGCCGTGGGCCTTCGGAACGCCGAAGGCGCCGTTCAGAAGCGATGCTCCGTCGCGGCAGGCGATCTCGCTCGGGGCGATGGGAGCGATCATCCCGCGCTCGTGCAAGGCCCCCAGAATGCGACGCCACTCGGGCTCGCAAGCCCCCACGCCCGAGCGGAGGCGGGCGCCGTGCGACGGGGCGCAGGCGGCAGCAACGCCAGCGACGGGCCCAACAAGGCATCGCGCGCGAAGCCCGTCGCAAGACCGGCAGTCTCGATGGAGGCCGCGGCGCCAGGCGGCGGCAGGCCGTCCAGCGCCTGTTTCAGTGAGAGTTTGTGAGGTGTCGTGATCTCGGAGCCACCGCGGCCGATCTTGCGATCCTTGAGGCGGCTCTCCCAGTTCAGGTTCCTGGGCAGGCTGGTCTCGATGCGCATGGCCAACAAGAGCCGGCGCGCCAGGCCGATCAGGGCGGCCCACTGGGCTGCGTTAGCACGGGCGCGGCAGCATCGAGCGAACTTGAGCGAGCGGAAGCCCGCCCCCCCAGTTCAGCACCAGCACCGCCACGACCAGTCTGCAGCGGAGAGCCTCCCAGTTCTCGCCGCTGAGGCCCTCGCCGTCATGCGCGACATCGGACATGACAGCGGCGGGGTGCGGTAACGGCAGCAAGTCGCGTTGCAGCCGACCTCCCTTGGTGGCCATGTGCTCGCGCAGCTCTAGATCCAGGGAATCGCGAACATCGCGACCACGCGAACCAGGGAAGCTCCTGAACATGATGAGTATAGGGCCCACGTCACAGGGCTCTCGGAACAGATATCAAGCGACCCCTGCCAGATCACGCCAGTCGGCCAGGAGGCCCCAAGCAGCAGCAGCGCCATCATTGGCAGCAGCGGGCACGCGAGGCAGGCGAGGTGGAGCGCGGCGAGGCAGCGGGGATCGCGACGGAGAAGCCCAAGGCGGTCTGCGCGAAGAGGCGGCCCGCAGAGAACTGGCCGCACCCGAGCGCGCATCATAAGCATGGGCACTATCGACTATCGGCCTCACCTCGCAGCTCCCGTCTCGGCAGAGCCGCCCCCGCCAGGGGGGCGTAGGCGTGAACCGCTGGCCCTGCCCGCGTTGCGCCCCCCGCCCCCGCGGCGGCGACCGCGACCGCGCGCGGCCCCCTGAGGCCGGGCCACCGCCGTCGCGGGCTGCCCCAGCACCGCTCGCCTCGCGCGAGGGCTGTCGCCGCGGGGCGCCCGCGGCCCGCTCGGCGGAAGTGCGCGGGCGGGGCTGCCGGAGGGCGCTGCGGCGGGCGGGCCCTCCGCCTCGCCTGCTGCAGCGGGGGCGCTCGGGGCGCGAGCAGGGCTGGCTGCGCGCGCAGGGGAGAAGCGGTTCCTGCCGCGGCCGCGCCCTTTCCCTCGGCCGGGAGCAGGCTGCCTCGCGGCCTGCGGGGCGCGCGGGAGGGCGATCGTGCTCTCGAACCCGCAGCCGCGGCCTCTCCGCGGGCCGCGCCCTCTCGCCGCCGCGGCCCAGGGCCTTAAGGCCCCGCAGCTTGTGGCGTCCTGCAGCCGCCTCCGCAGCACCGCCGAGCGGCGCGCCAGGTCCTGCTCGCCCATCGTGGCGAGGGGCGGCCTGGCGTCGGGCACGGTCTCCAGCTCGCTCGCCACCTGCCTACTCGCATCCGACAGTGAGAACTCCAGCGCCGTGAACCTCTGCATCGGGACGTCGCTCCCTTGCGGCAGCGATCCGCTCTCCAGCAGGTCCAGCGCCGTTGCCAGGGCCTGCAGCTCGCGCACCGTGTTGACCCGCAGCTGCGAGACGGGGTGGTGGCCGAAGACGACCGCCTGCAAACAGCCGACCACCTTCGGACGCGTCTCGGTACCGTCCGCCCCCTCCCGCAGGCCCATCACGCGAGGGAGGTTCAGCGTCGCCTCGTCGTAGAGGGCGCGGGGGCGCCTCTCCGCCAGCAGCCTCACGCTACCGCCGCGGAAAGGGGCGTCGCGAAAACGCGGCTCGCCGTCGCCATCGCTGCGGCTACCCGAGTCGCTGAGCTGCCGCCGCCTGCCGCGACCGCCGACGCCGCGGGCGCCAGCCCCACCTCCTGCGAGGGCCCGAACAATCGCGGCCGCCAAGCGATCATGCGCGGCACCGCCAGGGATGGGCCCCAGGGCCTGCCGACCCCCGCCGCCGCCGCGGCCTGCGAAGGCGCTCGGCCGCACCCAGGGCTCCACCAGCCCCCGCGCAGTCCGCAGCCGCAACCACTCCACGCGCAGGACGGCGCGCCCAGCCTGCGCGGGCTCAACGTAGCGTGCAGGGCCCCGCGCGCAGAGGTGCAGCAAGCCAGCGGACCCAGCTCCACGAGCCAGGAAGGCACCGTCGAGCCGCATCACCTCTGCTGGCAGCGACGCCACCCTGAACTGGGCGCTCAGGTACTGGCCCGCAGCCCCAGGCGCGCCGACCTCGTCCACCTCGAACAGGGCTGTGTCGCTGATGCCGCCCAAGGCGTCGTGCGTCGGCACCTCCACGTTCATGCCCTGGGTCTAGCCAGCGCCCACCAGCACTGAAGCCTGCGTCCAGGCGCCGTCTGCCAGCGCGCCCAGCTGCACTCCAGCGGCTGGGATGGCGGCGCCTCCAAGCACTCCGAGGAGCGCGCCAGCTCCGAGCGCCGCGGCAGCAGGCAGGGAACCAGCGCCACCAGCAGCTCCGCCGCCAGCCGCAGCGAGCGCGCCCACCAGCGCGGCCCCAACGCCGACACCGCCAGCGCCCACCGCGCCAGCGCCGCCAGGCAAAACAGGTGGCGCGCCGCCTCCGACGCCGCCGAAGCCGCCAGGGAGCCCAGGCAGGGCGCCGAGCCTTGGCACCATGGGGGCACCTGCCGCGCCGCCCAGCGGGGGGCCTGCGGTTCCCGCCTGGCGCAAGAGCCGCACCGCCGCCAGCAGCCTCAGCTCCGGCGCGTCCACGCACACACGTCGGCGAGCAACTCCAGCGCCCCGTCCGCGGCCGCGACCGCCTCCGCCAGGGGCCGCCTTAACTTGGACCTTACCCTTAACCTTAGCCTAACCCTTCGCCTTAGGAGGTATCGGGCTCGAGCGCCACGAGCTGGGCTCCGAAATAACGAGCCTGGTCCACAAGCAGCGCCCGCTCGCGCGGCGCCAGCCGCGCCTCGCGCGCCGCCTGCCTGGCGAGCGCGAGCAAGTAGCACAACTCGCACACCTCCAGCAGCCCTCCAGCCTCCGCCAAGGCGAGGCTCTCGCCGGGGGCGAGCCGCCCTTCGCACCAGCCGCAGATCCGAGGCCGCTGGGCCTGCAGTGCGGCGGGGGCGCGAGCGCGCGAGCCCCCGAGAAGCATGCCCTCCTCGAGGGCCCCACTAGAAGCCAGAACAACTGCCGTGCGATCGAATGCGGCCAACAAACACTCGCCCCCCTTAGCCCACACATCAACCGTAAACGTATTGATTATGTCCGCTGTATCCGCCACCGTGCCTCTGGCACGAAGTGGAGCGCCCCAAGGCTCACGCGGCACTGAGAGGTCTGGTCTGTGCTGCTAATGCTGCGGGCAGAACCGAGCTGTCTGTCCCGAAGGGCCGCACCATTCCTCGGCCGCCTCTGGGCCGTCCCGGGGCGTCCCGGGGTTTCTGGGCCGCCTCCCGAGAAGGCTGGGGAAGTCCTCTGGACGCTGTGCCTGCCCACAGTGGTGAACGTTTTCTTTGTTCGGCGTGTCGGCACTGGGCGGAAGGGGGAGGGGGGGGCGGGTCTGGCCCTGGACCTCTGCTGAACGCGGCTGTTTGCAGCAGTGCGTCCTATGGAAGAGGCTCCACCTGCCTGAAGCGGGCGCCACAAGCAGCCAGGATCTCCCACGGTGGGGGAGGGGGGGAAGAGAGGGTCCGAGGGCCCGCGCCCATCGGCAACAGAATGAAGAAGAAACGATCACACGGTCCAAGAGAGCCCCGACTTGCCGAAACATAGCCCAAAGACGTGTTCAAGAGCCTCGCGACGGCCCCAGGCACCTCCAAGACGGCGCCAGGGGCCTCCAACAGCACCCCCAAGAAGGCCCCGAGAGGAAACAACTCATTGATTGTTCTTCTGTTGTTCACATGTTCGGCGTTTCTGACCCTCTGCGTTCCCGACGCTCCAAGACATCCCACGAGGCCCCCAATAGCGCCCCAAAGACGACCCAAGAGGCGCCCAAGACGGCCCAAGAGG